TGTTTGAGATTACTTGTATGTGTTTGTCTCTTTGTCTCCAAAATCTCCATTTTAGGGTTTGGACTCGATCTACGGTTTGGAGGCATTACGGCGTCAAGGGAGTGACCCAACATCTTCACCAAATCACTAGGAAGTGAGGTTGTAAGTTTATTTATCCATAAAGTTAAATTTGCTGCATCTTTTGTAGTTCACGAGGCGTCGGAACTGGCTGGACGTTTGCATCGGAACTTCGACAACGTCGGGAGTTCCGACCCAAACGTCGGGACTTCCGACAGTGGCTGACAGATTTGAACTTAGCATTTGCAGTAAATTTTTAGATACGCCTATTCACCCCCCCTCTAGGCATTGTTAGATCCTTTCACCTGATCCCTCGCGCTGGCCGGCTCGACGAGGCCTAGTAACGTCCAACTCTTCACCGGCGGCCTCGGGCCTCCGCTCAGCAACGCCGTCCGCATCCACCATCCGGACACCCTCGTCGCCGCTATCAGCCTCGCCTGCCAGGTCGAGTTGATGGAGCTGGACCGACCGGCGCTTCCTCCCCCGAGAGCAGGCGCGCGCGGGCCACCACCACCTCCACCGGCCGCGGTCAGAGCCGTCCTGCCAGGCCCGCCGCCCCTCCTGGCTCTCCTGTGCCACGCGGCGGGCGCAAGCACCTGGCCGACCGAGGGCTCCCAGCGCCGTCTTTACGCTGAGGAGGAGATGGCCGACCGCCGTCGTCTCGGTTTGTGCTTCAACTGCAATGAGCGGTACACCCGTGGCCATAACCGCTTCTGCAGGCGCATCTTCTTTGTCGAAGGGGTCGAACTGGAGGCTGAGGGCGAGGACGCCGCCGTCGTGGCCAACGCCGAGGCGCCCTGTTTCTCCCTGCAGGCGCTGGCCGGGGTGCCGATGGCGGGCACCATGCAGATCACGGTGGGCCTGGGGCCCCTGATGCTCGTGGCTCTCCTCGACTCGGGCAGCACGCACAACTACATCGTGGAAGACGCAGCGAGGCGCTCCGGCCTGCCCCTCCACCAGCGCCCCCGCCTTACGGCGCTGGTCGCCAACGGGGAGCGCGTCGCGTGCGCGGGCGTCCTCCGCGCCGCGCCCGCTTTCGTCGGCGGAGTCGTTTCCCGGCCGACCTCTTCGTCATGCCGGTTGCAGGGTACGACATCGTCCTCGGCACACAGCGGGCTCGGCGGCGCTTCGGGGCGTCGTGCTCGGGACCTCGGCCGCTTGGCCTTTGTCGTTGCGGCGCATGACGCACCTTCTTCTGGACCCGCCGCCCCACCGTCGTCTCCGGTGATCGCACGCGACACTCGACACCGACTCTCCTCGAGAGGCGCTGCTTTCGCAGTCGGGGTCTTCGCCGACCGACCGGTCGCTTCGCAGGCGCGCGACGACCATCGCATCATGCTCAAGCCGGACGCGCAGCCGGTGGCCGTCCGTCCTTACCGGTACCCGGCGGCCCACAAGGATGAACTGGAACGCCAGTGCGCCGCCATGATGGAGCAGGGCATCGTCCGCCGGAGCGACTCCCCGTTCTCGTCGCCCGTCCTCCTCGTCAAGAAACCGGACGGGTCGTGGCGGTTCTGCGTCGACTACAGGGCGCTGAACGCGCGGACAGTCAAGGATGCTTTTCCCATCCCGGTGGTCGACGAGCTCCTCGACGAGCTCCACGGGGCTCAGTTTTTCACCAAGCTGGACCTGCGCTCGGGCTATCACCAAGTCCGCATGCGCCCAGAGGACATCCACAAGACGGCGTTCCGCACCCATGACGGCTTGTACGAGTTCCTGGTCATGGCGTTCGGCCTGTGCAACGCCCCGGCAACCTTTCAAGCCCTGATGAATGATGTGCTCCGGCCGTTCCTCCGCCGCTTCGTTCTGGTATTTTTTGACGATATTTTGATCTACAGCACGACGTGGGCGGACCATCTGCGACACCTCCGGACCGTCCTCGATACACTCCGCCGCCACCAGTTGTTCGTCAAGCGGTCCAAGTGCTCCTTCGGGGCGCCCAGCGTTGCCTACCTAGGCCACATCATCTCGGCGGCTGGGGTGGCCATGGACCCGGCGAAGGTCCAGGCGATCGTCGACTGGCCCACTCCTCGCTCCCCCCGGGCGGTGCGCGGCTTCCTCGGCCTCGCCGGATACTACCGCAAGTTCGTCCACAATTATGGGACGATTGCGGCACCGCTGACGGGCCTGCTCAAGAAGGAGGGATTCTCGTGGGACGACTCCACCGCAGCGGCGTTCGCGGCTCTCAAGGCCGCTGTGACGACGGCGCCCGTGCTCGCCATGCCCGACTTCGACAAGCTCTTCATCGTCGAGTGCGACGCCTCTACGTCCGGGTTCGGCGCCGTGCTGGTCCAGGAGGGCCACCCCGTCGCGTTCTTCAGCCGGCCGGTGGCGCCCCGCCACTCCTCGCTCGCCGCGTACGAGCGCGAACTGATCGGGCTGGTCCAGGCGGTCCGGCACTGGCGGCCGTACCTTTGGGGGCGCCGCTTCATAGTCAAGACCGATCACTACAGCCTCAAGTACCTCCTCGACCAGCGCCTCGCTACGATCCCACAGCATCATTGGGTCGGCAAGCTCCTCGGGTTCGATTTCTCGGTGGAGTACCGGTCCGGCGCCACCAACGTCGTCGCCGACGCTCTCTCGCGGCGCGATCAGGAGGACGGGTCGCTGCTGGCCATCTCCGCGCCTCGTTTTGACTTCGTCGACCGCCTCCGTCACGCCCAGGCCACGGATCCGGCCTTGGTCGCCATGCACGACGAGCTGCGGTCGGGTGCCCGTTCTGCGCCGTGGGCGCTCGTGGATGGCATGGTCGCCCACGCCGGCCGCCTGTACATCCCCCCGGCGTCGCCGCTGCTGCAGGAGATTGTGGCCGCCGTCCACAATGACGGTCACGAGGGGATCCACCGCACCCTCCATCGGCTCCGACGCGACTTTCATTTTCCCAACATGCGTGCTTTGGTGCAGGAGTTCGTCAAGGCCTGCGTCACCTGCCAGCAGTACAAGGCTGACCACCTGCAGCCGGCCGGCCTGCTGCAGCCGCTGCCGGTGCCATCGGCGGTCTGGGCCGACCTTGGCATCGACTTCATCGAGGCGCTTCCCAAGGTCCAGGGCAAGACGGTCATCCTCTCCGTGGTGGATCGCTTCAGCAAGTACTGCCATTTTATTCCTTTGGCACATCCCTACACTGCCGAGTCCGTCGCCAACGCCTTCTTCGCCGACATCGTCCGCCTCCACGGGGTGCCGCAGTCCATCACGTCGGACCGCGACCCAGTCTTCACATCGGCGTTCTGGCAGGAGCTCATGCGGCTCACCGGGACAAAGCTCTACATGTCCTCAGCCTTCCACCCACACAGACGGACGGCCGACGCGGAGGCCGCCAATCGGGTCATCGTCATGTACCTGCGATGTTTCACCGGCGATCGCCCCCGCCAGTGGATCCGGTGGCTGCCGTGGGCGGAGTACACCTACAACACCGCCTTTCAGTCGTCCCTGCGCGAGACCCCATTCCGTGTGGTTTACGGCAGGGACCCGCCGACCATTCGGTCCTACGAGCAGGGCGAAGCTCGGATCGCGGCCGTCGCCCAAGAGATGGAGGAGAGGGCCGCCTTCCTGGACGACATTCGTGTCCGCCCGAGCGAGCTCAGCGGTCGAAGCGCGTCCTACGATCAACATCATCGTCGCGTCGTCTTCACGATTGGGGACCGGGCGCCGCTGCTCTCTCCGGCGGCGTCTTCTTTGCGTCCATGCCCCGTGCCGCGTGCGCGTGGCAAGTGAAGCCGCGCCGTTGGTCCGTATAAGGTCACCGAGGTCATCAATGAGGCGGCCGTGCGCTGGAGCTACCCCGGATGCCCGTCTCCACGATGTGTTCCACGGGCGTCCTCAAGAAGTTTGTGGGGTCACCGCCACCGCTCCACCGGCGTTGCCGCCCTCCAACGGTGCCGTCGTTACTGCGCCCTCTCTGGTGACACAGGCCGCTGGCTCGTGGAGTTCAACAAGTCCTCGTCGAATGGAGGGTCACGACCCGCTGCACCCTCTGGGAAGACCTCGACGATTTCAAGACTCGTTTCCTTCGTTTCAGCTCGAGGACGAAAGCTGGACTTCGAGGCGGGGAGATGTCATGTGGGCGGGTGTCGCACGTGGCGTGCAGCGCTCACGATGACATACGCAGGGCGGCGAAGGAAGGCTGGCCTCCCAGAGAGCGAACTTCTTCGCCGAGAATCAAGTGTGTCGTGGCTAGGAGGCCTCGGTTGGAAAGTTATCGAGGATTAGTTCCTTATTATTAGCATCTATTTGTTACCTTAAGATTAGGAGTTTGTTTTCCTTTTGTTGGCAGCCGCAAGGCTATATATGTTATGGTAACCGGACTTGAAGAAATTAAGCAAGATTGTTATCCTATCTTCCATCTAATCTCAAGCCTGCGGTAGAGGGGCATAACCTCACCGGAGAAGACGGCCGAAGGCTACGAGCTCCGCAGCCGAGGCCCTGCGCGTCGAGGGTTCGACGCCCTTGACAATTGCAAAGTTATGAAATGAACTGATTGCCACCGTTATGCTTTGGTAAAAACAAAACAATGGAATAGATAGGAAAGGACATATTTGCTAAATGGTGGCAGATTTGTTCAATTTGATGCCATATGTGCTGAGTGTCATTTTAAACACACGACATGACTATTGCAAAGACAGCAGAAGTGTAGACATCATTTTTAGTATTCTATAATGAACTTCTCATCAAAAGGTGTAAATAGTGAGACATGATGTTAAATGACCTGAGCACCAGAGTCCCACATCCTATCTAAATACCTTTGACGATATGTCAAAGATCATATGCATATTCAAAAGGGAACCTCAACTTGTCAACTACCGCTAGGACAGCATACGTAACAAGCACGGAATTCTTGCGAAGGGTCTTGTTAGACTTGCTAGATCCTAGATTCCTACTGTTACTATTCAACATTCAGAGCAGAATAATTGAAGAAACCTGCCATTATGTTTCTGCCCTAGTGCTTACTCAGTCTTCCATGCTTTTAATATCAATGTGAAACCAAAACGATGTGCTTGAGCCTCCATTTCATTCTGTGAGCATGTTCTGAACAAAAATTTTTCCATGGAGTGGCCTGACTGAAACAAAAACACAGCACATCCATTCGAGGAACCAAATAGCCAGTCATGCACATCCCAGAGCACCTCCACTGGAAGTCCATCGACATAGATAGTCTGGTTCCCTCTGAATTTCCATGCCAGCCGCTTCACGTGCAACACTTTCTTCTTGTCAATCCTAATCTCTAGGCTGGGATCCGTCACCCCTGCCGTGTCGCACTCTATGGAGATGTGATGAATCTGCCCAATGTCCAAAAATCGAGCTTTCGCGGAATACACCTTCTTCGCATAAACGTGCTCCTTCCTAGCTATCATGACTGCATCAGAATGCAAAGCATCTGACAGAACCCGGTGATCCTCCTCCTTGCACAGGTCGCCTAAAACAAGGATAACTTCAAGATCATAGAGTAGAGCAACATGGAAGCCTCCGAGTGGCTCTGGCCCAGCTGCAAACTTTGCGGCTGACAGGTCCCAGATGATCTCCACACTGCCACTATCCAATTCCATGACCTTGGAACCCTTCCTCTTGGAGAACAGCCAGGGCTTAACCTCCATCTTGCAGAGGCAACGGTTGGAGTAGTCATGGATGGCAATGGCGAAAGCCTGCCCCGAGGCCACCTTGGTCCAGGTGACGGTGACCACGCAAGGCTTGCCGCGCAGGCGTGCCAGGTATGCACACTGCACCAAGTTCTGCCCACTTGAGGAAGAGGAATGCACAACCTGGGCGGCGCTTTGGCTTAGGCAAGATGCAAAATCTCTCATCGTGACGACTGTGACGGTTTCCCTCAGTGCGGGGTGGCTTTTCGACGAACACCACGTGCACAACTGCCCTTTTTTGTCAGGAGACTGATTTCTGCATTTGGATTCTACTAGGACGCCTAATTCCTCCAAGGACCGAAGCAGTCGTGGAACGGATCCGTCATCTTCTCATCTTTGCAGACGATATTCCAAGATAACCCCCGCCGAATGCACGCGTGTTTGTTCAACCTGAAAACTGAGATAGCAACAAATCAAGAACGCGGACCAGAAAGGCGCATCCTGTGATTCCCAACCCCAACCAACGTAAGATAAAAACAAACCTTTTCCAGGCCAAATCGAGAACCGCTAGCAGGCAGCAGCACAAGCCCAACTGAGGACGAAATCACCAGATGGATAGTGCACACGCCAAGGAGTAAGCTCAACGAAAGGGGAAGAGGCGGACAGAGGCCAATCCAATGAACGGCCGTTTTACTTGCGTTTTACACCTGACCCCGACTAAAAGGAACTCACTCACTCACCTGCTCCACAACAGCGTGTTCCCTCCCTCAGCAGCAGTAAACTAGTGCCACTAGCAGGCGCTGCTCCGCGCTAGCCTCTTCCCCTCCCCTTCCCTTTTCCCCATGGTTTAGCACGTACTAGCGGCGGCGTTGGAGCGACCAAAAGCAAGGCGGTGGAAAGAAGAGGACAAGCTGGGAGGACGAGGAAGCACCGGGACGCGGTACGGGCGCGGCGTTGGGGAATGTGGGCACCAGAAAAGACGCGGACGCAGGCAGCATGCTGCCGGGACGAGGTGCAGCTGCACTGTCCAATCACTGTGACCGGTCGCCCTCCCGGCGGACATGAGAGCTCCGCAAGATCCGCTTCTCCCGGGGGAGATCGTGTCACCCCCGTGTGCCCTCTGCCCCCCCGTGTTATACGGAAACGTTTCATGATTCGTACAGTAATGGGTAGGTTGTTAGGGTTTGCGAGCCCGGCCCAAGTAGGTCATGGTACCACCCAATTCCAGCTTCATCCCCGGGCACCGGGCACCGGCCCATAACTCACAGTCCGTTGCTGTTTGGTGCAATCTGAACCTTATATCTTTATATCCATGCTGATGCATCACCAAATAAGACGAGGGATGTTTTGGATCGTTTTGCTGCGCGCTCATGCAAAATTGATGGGTCACCAACACGGACCCTTTTCCTGATACACTCCTGTTCATATATTGAATCAGCGCATTGATTTCTGACTTCTGAGAGACCTCGAGAGTTTGGGAGTTATATATGGTTGCCACAAGTACGTTGCCAATAAATAGTTCTTGCTCAGATCAATTGATCTTTTCTTGATGAAAGGCGAATCAAATTGTTTCAAAGTTTAGAAGACAAATGAAAGAATCTGAACGCAATATGTTTTTTTTTTATTTCAGATTCATGTGTAATTTGAAGATGTACCGTGCTATTTTAATATAATTCCCTCTTTCCTTCGGGAAAAAAAATGTTTCAAGTTCTCAACCAATTCATCAACTCGAGCAGGGTTTGTGATCTGAGTTGCATTTCACGGGCACACGTGACACGTCACCTGGAATAGCACGAGCAATTGGCGGAGGCGCCGTGCGGGCTGGGTGGTCTGATCCTGAGAATCGGGTTCCTCTCGAAGAAGTTGGATGGCCGGAGCTCGAAGCCGCCACTCAGCGTGGGCATCACCGGGAAGTCCTCCTGGTAGGGTATGTGATGCAGCCCCAGCGTGTACCACAGCACGATGTCCTCGTCCCTGATCCCTCTGTTCCTCCTGCTCCACGCCGTCAGGCTGTCGGCCCCGGTGCTCTGGTCGGCGTACAGCCCGGACGCCCACTTCTCGGCCTTGCTGTACGGCGTCACCCACACCTGCTTCTTGGTGTAGCTCGCCCGCCGCTGCGGGCAGTCATCGTCGGCCAGCACGGACGCCGCCGTCGCCCCCGACGGGATGAGGCGGTACCCGACCTCGTGCCCCATCCGGGTCTTCTTGCCAGGGTTCACGAACAGCAGGTCGGCGGGCCCGGCGTTGACGTCCGCCTGCCCGTCGGACTCCGTCTCCGCCACCTCGCGCCGCACCGTCCAGTAGCTCCGCCTCGGCGTGTCGGCGCCGCCCGTGGCCGGGTCCCCCGTGTTGCGCCTGGCGGTGATGATGTTCTTGACGAAGGAGTTGTTGGTGCCGTCGATGTCCAGGTCCAGGTGATACGTGACGTAGTGGTCGTGGTAGATGGCGAGCGTGTTCTCGGAGACCAGCGAGCCGTGCGCGTCCACCGTGAGCTCGTCGGCGTGCGTGTACGACGTCCCTTTCACCTCCAGGAGGCCGGTGAGAGACACCTGCGGGCATCGTACGATTTCAGCTCATCCAGACACAACACAAGCGGTCACTGCGGACTTGCGTTTGCTTCAGAATTCAGATACGTTACCACGAATTTGATGGAGCCGCTGGTCTTGAACTCCCAGTCCAGAATGTAGTCATAGTTGCCGGGCGACACCACCATCCTCACCACCAAGGTCACGTCAGGCCGGACCTCCGTGATCTGCATGAAACGGCGACAATCTCGTCGTCAAAACAACGTGACATTCAGAGTCGATGCCTGCTGCCTGCTTGCTCACCAATCGGGCCGGGAACCCGGCCTCGGTGTGGCGCCACGCGACGTCGCCGGCGTACCGCTCGAACACGCAGATCCTGTTCTCGCCGCTGACGGGCTTGCCGTCCTGCCCGGCGTAGGAGCCATCGAAGTAGGCGGCGTTGGCGGGGCAGTCGGCGCCGGGCTGGAGCAGGAACGCCCAGAGGCCCAGGCCGTACTCGCCGGCGTCCAGGAACGTGCGGTAGTACCACTCCTCGACCGGGTCCATGTACGGCACGAAGACCTCCGAGACGAAGCCGCGGTACAGCACCCGGCGCCGCGTGCCGGCGTCGGCGTCGTGGACCGAGGCCAGCGAGATGACCGTGCCCGCGCGCATGTCGAAGCCCACGTGGAACTCCCAGTTGGCCCACCTGCAGTGGCAGAAGAATTGGCCCAACGCCAATTTTCATGACTATTTTTTATAACCTTTTGATTTGAAACTCCTGCAAAAGATAGCTACGATCTTTTTTTTCAGAAAAGCTAATGGACAACCGGTTGTTTTAACCAGCCTCAGCAACCGGTTTTTGTTCCGTCGATTTGCTTACCCTGCTTCCCCGGTCCGTCAGATTGAGACGGGGCTGGGCGCGAAAACGAGATCGGCGACAAATTGAGACGGGGCTGGGCGCGGAAACGAGATCGGCGAATCGGGACCGGGATTAGTGCCTGGGGCCAGGTGGACGTGGAGGGCGGGCGCGGCCTTCTAGTGCTGGTGCGCCGCCGCCTTCTTGGAGACGCCGCCGGTGGGCTTGGTGGCGCCGGCGCCGGCGTGCGCCTTCTGCTGACGGAAGGACTTCATGTCGCCTCCGCCGCCCCTCGTGATGCCTTCTGCGATCTCTCTCCATCGTAGCTGGTGGTGGCGTTGGGATGAATGGGGGTTGGAATGCGGTGGCAGAGGAATAGGGAACGATGGTGGATGACTGGACGATGAGAGGGTTGAGGGAAAGGAAGGGATAAGGTTGAGGTTGGTCCCACCACAATTTGTAAACAATTTGTAATTTTTTGAAATTTGTGAAGAATTTGACGTATATTTTTCTGATGTCTGGAATCTACCGAAATAATTTGTAATTTTTTTTTGAAAAAATTGACATATATTTGTGTTATTCTCAAATTACATCACTCTGTCCAATAAACTATACTGAAAAAATTATTATAAATATAGTAACAAAGCGGTGTAAATATAGATATAAGATATTGTAAGTGCATGAATAAAAATATGATTATTAGAAGAGGTTAAAACACCCCGTTGTTGGACATTTTTTTTTTCAAAGCAGACATAAATAGTACGGAGTAGTACCTTACACCATTACTATCGATTCTCTTACATATATTAGTTAATTATTAGTATGTACTACAGTACAACTTTAAAAACTCAGTCGCAATCTGATAATGACCTATTTAATTATCTATATAAAAAGAGTAGTTGGAATAAGATAAGGACATCGATGGAGACGGGGACTCTCAAGCCCGTCAAAATTAATTATTGCCGGGTTTTTTTCTCTGTCGCATTCGAGTGTAGTATAAATGTATAATGTAGTGGTCCTTGTCATCAACGTGGACATCATGCAATCCAAACACCACTAACAAATACAGTACTTATGGTGTGTTTGGTTTGAGGATAACGGTGGATGGGATATGACCATCCATATATTTTAGGATATGAATATCCACATTGTCTGTTTGGTTGGATAGATGGGACGAATTATTTTTCTGTTTGGTTGGATGGATGAGATTACATAAGATGAGAATGCTTGACTAATTATATCTATTATTTAAAAATAATAACAACTAATTATAATCACTAATTTAAAATAAAACAGGTTAATTAGCACTATATTACTCTAATTGTCACACAAAAACATACGCTAATCAACATGTAAATATTTTGGTCCGCTAGTTTTTTTAGGGTTAGAATATCCAGCATCTACCTAGAATATTCTATATTATGGATATTCAGGTTCGGTTTATCCATCCAACCAATCAACCAATCAGATATCCATGCAACCAATCACATCCTTACCTCTTTTGAAATTCGGTGCGGCATCGTGCGGTTGACATTTCGGAGACCGGAAGCAAGCCCTTATTTGGACAATTGCTATCCACATGAAGCCTGCTATTTATATATGGCGTATCAGCCTATCATCACGCAGCGTTTGAAGTTCGAAATGCACCGACAAATTTTCAGTTGCAAAAATATGAGACCAGCCCACGTGGTGTGCTTCCAGAAGCCAAGATTATATTGTGAGTTGGATTTTCTGAAAAATGTCTTGTCACAGTATAAGCAAGTTGCAAAGTTGGACCAATTACATGGTGCAACTGCAACTGCATGTGCAGCCCTCAATCTATCAACTTGAAACTTCAAATGCACAAAGCAAGCAGGCCGTTTTACACTGCAAATAAACAGAACTAAACAACCCCTTTGCTACACTATCAGCAGAAGAGTGCATTTGAATAGTCAACCAAGTGCCAAATTCTTGACTAACATGTTCGGCTGATCCACTCTTTTTTTTTCAGCTTATTCTTTCTCACAGAATATTATTGAATTATCTGAAATCAGCCGAAATCAGCTTAAACTAGATCAGCCGAAATCAGTTGATAATAGAGCAACGTTGGTACTGAACTGTATATTTTTCTTCTTTGAATTACCTGACGACGTGGCCGTCAATGTGGAAGCCCCTGCCCTCCGGTTGCACGGCGACACCCGGCGCCGGCTGCAGCCCGGCGAGCGGCGGCCCGGTCTTGCCCGCCCGGTAGTCCGTGCCCTCGGCCTTGGGCACGGGGTACGTCACCCGGTCTCTGTACCCGACGATGGCCATGGCGTCGAGGTCCACCACCATGGTGACGCCCTCGATCGGCCGCGCGTAGAAGTTGGCCGTGGGGCCGGCCACGAAGCACAGCATCTTCGCCACCCGCTTGGGCGCCCCGGCCCCGGCGCCGCCGCCGCCGAACCAGCCGACGGGGAACACCGCGCAGAGCACGTCGTCCATGTCCACCCCGCGGCGCCGCACGGAGTCCACGAACGGCGGGTACGCGGGCGGCAGCGCCACCGCCGCGAACTGCTCCTCGAGCGTGAGAATCAGGAAGCCCGCGCCGCGGTGGACGGCGGGAGAGGACGGTGGCGGAGGTGCCGTTGCTGGCGATGTCCACGCGGAGCTCGTGGGACTGCCCGCCCGCGCGGGCGACCACGAGCGCCCGTCGCGGCAGGGGCGGACGCGAGGACAAGCCCCCGGTGCCAGTGCCGCCGTAGGCGTACGCGAGGACGTCGGCCTTGTCGGGCTCGTCGAGGCCGACGTAGTGGAAGGTGAGCGGGCGGGCGGGGACGAGCGGGGAGGCGAGCACCGCGGCGCGGACCGCCGTAACCTCCTCAGGGGTGAGGGGGTCCAGCGGGTGGGGGTTGGAACGGGAGGAGGCCGCCGACGCCGCGGCGGTGACGGACAGCACGGCGGCGACGAGGAGAAGAAGCATAGCTGCCCGGTGTGACATTTGGGCCATCCGTTGAATGGCGAGTGATGAGAACGGACCTAAATCACTCACTGTGAGACTGTCCGATTGCTACAAATGATGTAGCACGTGATAATCGAATGGCCCCCACCGGCGCAGGCCGCCCCTATCATTGCTATAGGTTTTCGTCAGAAATATCGATTTGCAAAAAGTTTTTCATTTTTCTTTCATTTCGTTCTCTATTCGTTTAGTTGGGTTTGGCGGGGGGCAGTCTCTTAGCTGTCTGTTCTCTTTTCTTATTGTCCTTTGTTTGATTTTTTCTTTGCATGCTCTCTAATAAATTTACTCAGTAATTCTCTTGCTCAGCTTTCGAAAAAATTAAGTGCACAAAAATAATTTTGCCAATTTCTTCTTAATTATTATTTTCATTAATGTTAATAATAGAAGAAGAAAATTCTTTTTTGGGGGATGTTTGCTGTTATGTGCAAGTAGCTTGCTTTTTTTCATTACAAAGTTTGTGTTCTTTTTTTTTCTTTAACATTTTTTTCATATAGGGTATGTTTGGCACAGCTCACAGCAACTTCATGAGTTATTGTGAGCTGTTTTTTTTTTTTGCCAAACAATTATTTCCAAAATAGCTTCATGGTGAAGCTGTTTTTCTTCTCCTTTCGCGAAGAGATGAGTTGGGAAGAAGCTGAAAAAAGTACTTTATCTCATCTTCCCCTGCCACATGTGGGACCCACAGTACACAAATGACAGGTTCTCCCCACGCACAGCAGAGCGCACACGGGCGTGGCTCGTTGGCGCCGTTGTTGTGCAGGCTCAGCGCAGGGCTTGACTTCACCGGAGCGCCGCGCTTGACCAGGGCGCCTTTGGGTCTTGTGACTCGCCGAGCATCGCCGACCATGGGTGTGGCCTGTCGGAGGCGGTGCTTTCGTCGAGCATGGCGTGCCGGGCGTGGCAAAGGGGTCGTGATTCATGAGGCTCTCGGCGCCGAGGGCGCTGATCACCGAGAGCAGCTCACCGGAGCGCCGCTAAACATGGGCGTGGCAGCCGGAGGCGCTGCTCGCCAAGCATCGCTTGCCAGGGCGCGCCGCCGGGTCATGATTCGCCAGTCTTGTGGCCGGGAGAAGCGGTTCGTAGGGTGCGCCGCGCTAAAGCGCGCTCGTCGGGCATGGTCTTCGGGCGCTGGATCGGGACCAAGATCGCCATCCACCAACGAGCTCGGGCATCGGGCATCTGCCGTGGGAGTAAAGATCGTAGCAGATCGGGTTTGGGGCGGATATGCGCGTGTTTCAGTTTTGGTGCCTTTTTTCGTCCACGGTTTTGCGGGTTCGGATACCCGAAATACCGTGGGTTTGGGGTGGATCCTAATTTTCACTCGTGGTGCTCCATCGGCCCCCCAAAAATGCAACCCACTAAAAGCCCAACAACCAACCCTAAGTATATAAGCCTGATTGCCTGAAACCCTC